GGGGGTCAGGAGAGGTCTGCTGCTATTTGTTTATGCACACAGAACTGGGGGGTCAGGAGAGGTCTGCTGCACCATGTGGTCACCTCCGGGGCAGGCGGGGATCGAACTCTTGCAGAAGTGGCTTTAGCTTCTTAGTGCTGTGTTTTAACCTGCTGCGCCACCCGGGAGGGCCCTGTTTTCTGATTTTAAAGCTGTGCTTTCCTCTGGTTCCTCACCCTAGTCCTGGCATTGTCAACCCCCATTCTCAGGGAGGGGCGTCGGCTGACAGGGGGGTGAAGCCAGGATTCAAACGCAGGTCCTGATCAAGCCCACAATGCTCTAGGGCAGCCCCTCCCTGGGGGTAGGAATCCAGCCTGCCCCCCCACTTGGTACAACGGGGCAAAGATGGCCTCACATTTTTAAATGGTTGGGAAGAAATGACTAGAAGGATATTTGGCGACATGTGAAAAGTATGCAAAATCAGTTGTTTGGTAACACAGACATGCTGTGGCTGACGGTGATCTCTGGCTGGGCCCCTTTCCAAGTGGGGTTGAGTAGGGAGACCCCCATTTTCACTCAGGCGAAAATGTTTACTTTCTGACACTGCAGAAAGTCTGTAGAACCCTGGCCTGGGAAGTCCCCGGAAGGTCAGGGTTTGGTATTTTCTTAATGTGTAAACCATTTAAAAAAAATTTATTTTTGTTAATGCATACAAGAACTGGGGTGCAGGCCAGGGGCGCTGGGGTGAAAGGAGTCACCAGAGACAGAGCGGGGAGCAGAACAGGAGGCTCTACTGAGATCCACAGCTGAGGGGAGCAGTGGGGAGACAGGAGAGGTCTGCTGCGCCCTTGGGCCACTCCCTGGCCAGAGTTCCAGGCACCTTGGCCCAGGCTGGGGGATAACTTGATAGCATTGAGACTTTAACCCCCGCGCCACCAGGGAGGCCCTGTAAAAAAGTTTTTGTTCCCCACGGCCCACCTCCAGCCTGTCTGCTTAGCAGATTTAGTGCTCGTTGATTATTTCTAGCCCCACTTCTGGCTTTTGGCTGGGTGAAGCCTCTGTCCTGAGCTTTGCACTCGAAGCTGCCGTCACCACCAGCCCTTCCATCCCCTTGACCCTTCCTCGCTCCCCCCACCTCTAGGCCTCGGACCCCCGCATGTGTTAGTGCCCCTGGTTTCGGTTCCTACTGTGTTGCCAGGCAGGTGTGGGGTACACGGCTTTGCCCTGACTTGTGTTACTGCACCTACCCTCGCTTTCCTGAACGCCCTCTGCTTGGCTGTAAATGGCTGCGTTCGTCCTGCCTTACGGGGAGGAAGGGCGTGTTTGGGGCTGAGCTGGCCTGGGGGCCAGCCGGCACACGAGGGCATAGCCCGCCCGTCCTGTGAGGGTGAGAGTGGACACCTTGTCCTCTCGCTAGCCGGTTTCCATTCCTGTCACTATTCCCCCACGTTTGGAGGACGGATCTTTAGAGGTTTAAGAGCTCACTGTCTCCTGACCAAACCCTTTCTCCCCCCTCAGTGGGTGGCCAGCATCGACGTGGTGGAGAATGAAGAGGCCAGCGCGAGCGTGGTCGTTAAAATGACGGACTCGTTTACCGAGCAGGCTGACCAGGTAATTGCAGAGAAGGCCCGGTGAGCGGGTGTTGGGTCGGGGGGTGGGGGGAGAGACGTCGGGGTCGGGGTCGGGGCGGCCGACCCAGCTTGCTGCTGCTGGGGTCTGCCCTAGGCCACAGCATGACTTTAGAATGAATCGGGACAGCAGGGTACCCCGGGTGTTAGAACAGAAATAGGAAATGCATTGCTCAGGAGCGGGGCGGGATCCCATCCGCTAGGAGGAAGGAGGTCCTGAGAGGCTTCTAAAGGCAACTAAGGAAGCAGAAAGTCAGGCCTGGGAGCTCAGCGCCCCTGCGGGCAGGCATCTCATCCTCCTGTGGGGGATGAAAGAAGACTTCCTGGGTCAGAAAATTGCACCCCAGCTGGTTAAGGCAGGCATTTCTGGGCCAGGTTGTCGTGGCAGTGATGAGGTAGTGGGTCTCGGGCTTAGCACAAGGGAGTCCATCTGGAGCCTGTTGTCTCTCTCGCTCTCTCTCTTTTTTTTTTTTTTAAAGATTTGTAGTTTATGCATACAGAACTGGGGTACAGGCTGGAGGTGCAGGGGTGATGAAAGGATTCACCAGAGACAGAGTGAGGAGAAGAACAGGCAGATCCACTAAAATACACTGCTGAGGGGAGCAGCAGGTGAGACAGGAGAGGTCTGCTGCACCATGTGGGTCAGCTCCCTGGCCAGGGATCGAACTTGTGCTGCAGGGGCTGTGGCTAGCTTCACGGTGCTACACTTTAACCCATTGCGCCACCAGGGAGGGCCCTGTTGTTTCTTTGCTACGAGGGTAAGCGGAACCTGGGTTTGGTGAGGTACTCACGGGTAGAGGGAAATCCCGGAACTTCTTAGAGAGCGTTGCTGTGGGGTGTAGGAAAAGGAAAGATTGGTTGCCAGTGCCAGAGGCGTCTCCTCGAAGGAGTAACCTGAGGCCTCAGAAAGTGCTACGGAGAGAGGCCAGGCTCAAACGTCCCTTCTGGGAGGGAAGCTGCATCTCAAGTCTTATGAAGACTGATTTTAACCAGTTAGGAGGACGCTTCAGCAGTTCCAGAGAAATAGAAAAGGGGCTTGGGCAATAGGCAGAATGACCTGTCTCACATTTTAATAAGTTGTAACAAGAGCACATGCATATATTTTCAATGCTTTAAAGACATTTCACTCCAACAGAAGCAGAGGAAACAAAAGAGAACCCCCCGTCCCCTTGATACTCAGTATTTTGCCATCGACTGTATATATTTTACTGCTTTTTACATGCAAGGGCGTGGGGAGAGTCGAACGGAACATCTCGGATTATGATTACGTCGTTGGTGAAGAAAGCCTGGAAGGGCTTATTCAGGAAGGGGGGCCGTGGGCCCTGCGGCTCTAGCTGATTATTTTTCATCTTTTCTTTATTCGTCGCTCATTTCTCATGTCCCACCCTTCAGCATGTTCAAAAGAATACGAGATTGCTTGATCAGAATCACAGGGAAAGGCAGTCCAGAGTTCCCCGTCCAGTGGTCATCCTGGAGTGGGTGTATCTGCTCCGCAGTGTTCGTGGCCAGCGGGAGGCGACCTCAGAGGAACTTGCAGAGTAGACCCAGGTGCCTGTTTAGGGGTAACCGACTAGTGCGTCTCTGACCTTTCCTTGAAGGTGACCGCCGAGGTGGGCAAGCTGCTGGGTGAGGACAAGGTGGATGCCATCCTTTGTGTGGCCGGAGGATGGGCCGGGGGCAACGCCAAGTCCAAATGTGAGTGCTTTTCTGAGTTGACCCCTCGCTCCCCTCTGCTCTTCTTCCACAGTGGGGGGGCTTCGCAGCAGCCCGAGCCCAGCTCTGCGAGGTGGGAACTGACAGCACCCCATCCCACAGAGGGGAGAGGAGAGTTAACATTTGCCACCTCTGAGTTGTCTCCCCTTTCCTGCTTGTCTGTACTGAACGTCTTGCTTGTTAAACATTTGCAATGAATTTGGTGTTCACAGTATTTCAGTGTGTCTCTCCAAAGCATAACCCCCTTCTCTGACGCGCCCCCAAACCATGATCGTACCTAAGAAAATGACGGCGATTCCGTGGCGGTAGTAGCCAGCCTGTGTTTGAATAACCCCAATTTCACCTGTACCTCTTACGCTTCCCCCCTAACCGCTGTCAGTCAGGGTTCACGCGCTGCATTTTGTGGTCTTCAGTCTCTTCACCTAGATTATTTTTTTCCTTGCGAGGCTTGGTGAGTCCAGATCAGTTCTTATGTTAACTCTCCACCTGTTGAGTTTGTCTCATTCTTTCTCGTTTAATGAGACAACTGTCCCGCCAGCGACGTGACTTGCAGTACACTGTCCCTCCTCACGTCTCCAGCAAGGCCAGGGAAATGGCCAGCTTTATTTTTTTAAGTATTTATTTGCTTATATATTTACATCATTGATTATTTTAGAAGTGTTTACATTCCCCCCTGCACCCCTCCCCCCCCCAGGCCAGGTGTAGACCCCATAGAATTTCCTTCTTACTTGGTTCCCTATATTCCTCCTTTAAGTGAAACCATTCGATACTTTTCATTTCCTTTCTGGCTTATTTCACGGGCCCTTCTAGCTCCATCCATTTGGTTGAGGAATGCACGAGCTGATCTTTTTGATCGCTGAGTAGTATTCCACGGTGCGTAAAGGACACATCTTAATCCGATCGTCTATTTTGGGCATTTAGGTTGTTTCCAGGTTTTACCTATTGTAAATAGTTCAGCTTTATTTTAAACAAAAGTCCCTAATGTGGGCACTAAGCTTTCAGCCATAACACAACCTTAGCTCTGGAGAGGCTCTCCTATGTCCATAGGGGAACACCTACGTAGACACCCACATTCTTATTGCAGACCAACTGCCCTCTGTAAACGGCCACCTGAATCAAAAGCCAGTCCAGCATTACATTACTGTCGGCCACTCCTCATTGGTCGGCTGAAATGTCACCAGTTTGCCAGTGAGGGGCAGAGACTGGCGGTCACCAGGTCCAGATTGGAACCTGCATCTCCCACACAAGCCTTGAGCTCTTGGCACCGGGACCTGTAGATGAAGGAGCGGGAGTGGGGAGCAGCCTTAGGGGTATTTGGCTGCGTCACTGAGCCTCTGCTGTTTCCCTCTCAGCGCTCTTCAAGAACTGTGACCTGATGTGGAAGCAGAGTATATGGACATCCACCATCTCCAGCCACCTGGCCACCAAGCACCTCAAAGACGGAGGCCTCCTGACCTTGGCTGGGGCCAAGGCAGCCCTGGACGGGACGCCCGGTAAGCCCGCATTTCCCGCCTGGGAAAGGGGGGTGCCTGGGGGGAGGCGGCCTGAGGAAGCCCCTCCTCTCGCTGCTGCCTTCCCGGTGGGTGGACTTTGTTTCCTTGAAGACCTTGTTGCTGGGCTCGTGTCTGTGACTCACCAGGGGACAGTTGGCCGTGGATCTTAATTAATAAGTTGCCACCTGTCTGTTGTGTTCCTACGTCCCAGGGAAGCAGCTGGCCCCCGGGAAGAATGTGGGTGCAGAGTGAGAGGTCTGGGGTGGACCCTTCACCTGGCTGTGTGGTCTAGAGCACGTTTGATCTCGGGCCAAATTTCCGCTGCAGCTTCCGTAGCGGTACAGGCTGCTTGAGCTCTCGCCCTGAGGGCAGCTATGGGCACTGTGGTGTGCCCTATAGATGGTGCCCGGCGCCTGGTCAGTCCTACGGTGGCTCGCAGCGGGCCCCTGCGCTCTCGCTTAACCCCGATAGATGTCAGGGTTATCTTTACCACTTGACAGCTACGGAGACTAAAACTTATGTTTAGCAACTTGTCACTTGGGCAGTCAGTACTGATGCAAATTTATTTTCAAAGAAGTTTAAATTTGTAATTTGCAAATTTATGTTTAGCCAAACCCCCGGTTACCTGCCAGCCGTGTGCTCGGCCTGCCCCATCACACAGGCCCGGCCTGCAGCTCTGTGCCTGCGTTCCTGAGTGGGGGCGGCCGGAGCAAAGCACCAGGCTGGGGCGTCAGCGGCCCAATGCGTTTTCTCGCCTTCCTAGAGGCGGGAGTGCGGGATCAGGGTGTTGGCGGGCCCTGTTTCTCTCTGAGGCCTCCCTCCCGGGCTGGCTGGGGGCACCTTGTCTCCTTCCGTGGCCTTTCCTGTGTCCTGATGGTCTCTGCTTACAGGCGCCCCAGTCCTCCAGCAAGCCTCATGCTCACTGTCACCTCTTTAACAGCCTTGTCTCCCGACACAGCTACGTCGGGGCTTAGGGCTTCAGCATTTAAATTTGGGGGGCCCCCAGCTCTACTGAAGCAGTCCCTGGGGATAGGGCTGGTAGTGCATATGTGGGTTTTGGGGGGAGGCTTCTGCACAGGGAGGCAGAAGTACCGCCTCCAATTCCTTCTAAATGAAGCCTTCCCTCAAAAATAATGGCAGACTTTGGGGGCCCCTGTTGTAAGTAGTAGAGATCTTGCACTTCTTTTTAAATGTTAATGCAACTCACTGGGGACTCGTACAAATTAACTGCTTCTTGCCACCCGTTTCTTATGCTTCTCAGCGCGTGTGATCTCCCAAGGCTGTGGCTCATACGATAATTAAGGCTGTGGAGATGAGCTCTGTTAGTTCTGCTGAGACCTGGTTTTCATTAAAGATGACATAGAACAGTAGCACGAGGAGGTAAACAGAAGTGACCATTA